CAGAAGTGCCGAAGGCGAGGTGCATTAGGTGAATGGCAGTGCCTCCCTCGGTTGGTCTCGCTGATTTCTCGGGATCCTTTTGGAACTGAGAAGGCGCCTCCTGGCTCTCTGACCGACCCTTTCTGCGTGCGGCTTCAAAGCCCCCGAGAGCTTCTGGCCCCGGGCAAAGGATCCTGACGACGCTTCCATCCTCGGGACCGGAAGCCGCGTTGAAGGCAGGAGCCGCGGAAACCGGCCGGGAAGCCGGCGCACGCGCGCGCGTGTGTGTGTGTGTGTCGCCCTCCCCGGTTTCTCGCAAGGGGAATCACCCCGCTCGCCTCCGTCCCGGGGCAAAAGGGGGTCGCTGGCCGGACGCAGCCAGACCCCCCCCTCCCCCGCCTGCCCGCCCGCCTCCCTCCCTCCCTCCGCTCCCCCCCGTCCGCGCGAGGGCGGGGCTTGGGAGAGGCTCCGCCCAGGAGGCTCCGCAGCGCCCACGTGCCCCCCCCCGCCCCCAAGCCCCGCCCTCCCTCTCTCCGGCGGGCGGCGATGGCGGCTCTGGTGGCCTCGGCGGGGCGGCGCGGCGTCCTTGGCGCCCGCGGAGGTCGGCGGGGCTTCGGGAAGGGACCCTCCGGCTGCTCCCGGCGCCTCCCGCCCAGGGGCAGCCTACCGGGCAGGGGCGGCGGGCGGGCGGGCGGGTCTGGGTGGGCGCCCCGGCTGAGCTCCTCTCCCCCGCCCCCCGTCCTCCTCCTCTTCCTCCAGCGCGGCTGCTGCACGCGGGGCTGCCCGAGACGCACCGGATGCTGCGGGAGACCTGCCGGGACTTCGCCGCGAAGGAGTTGGCGCCCCTCGCCGCGAGCCTCGACCGCGACCACCGCTTCCCCGCCGAGCAGGTGCGGGACCCCCGAGGGCGGGGAATTGGGGGGGGGGGCGGAGGGGCAGCCAGAGCAACGCCCGCGGGGCCTCTCTGCTCCATGGAAGGGGCTTCTGGACGGTTCTGACCCTGGAGCCGCCTCTGAATGACTTCCAGGTAGTCCTCGACTTAGGACCATTGGTTTCGTGACCAAAGTTGCAAGGGCCCTGAACCAAGGGAGCGATGGCTCCCTTTCAGGGAGTTCAGGGGCTTGGCAGGGGTCTTGGGGTCCCCTTCGGACTATGGAGCTTCTCTGCCCTCCGGGTCACGGCCCTTGGAAAAAGCCCCCCTGGGATCCCCTTTTGCCACCTCCCATCACCAGGGAAGCCAGATTCCCTGAACAACCCTGTTACCAACTGAACAACTGCAGGGATTCGCTTAATGGCCGCAGCAAAAAAAGTTGTAAAACGGGGCAAAACTCTTTCCACAAATCTTGGCCCCTCCAGCACGGCATGCCCACCTGGGCGTCTCTGCCTCCCCTCCTGGCACTGCCAGTCCTTCAACCATGAGATGCAGGCCTTTTATTCCTAAAGTGTGAAAAACTTCTTTGCAGGAGAACCAAGCTCTCCATGTCCTGTTTTCTGCCCCTCAGGTGTGTCACCTTTTGCACTGATTTGTGTTTGCCTGGTGGTGCCATTGTTGAACTTAAGACTGCCCTGAAATACGCCTTTTTGAGAAGCAAGGAAGGGCATAAATCAGGGCTGAGCAACGGTGTCCCTTTTCCAACCAGGAGGCTTCAACTCCCGGTATGGCTGGCTCAGGAATTCTGGGAGTTGAAGTCCCAACAGGTCGTAAACGTTGGCAGAGCTGCTCAGCCAGGGCAGAAATGTTCTTGCTTGACAAGGCAGATCCTGGATCGGTGCCCTCGGCAACTGCCGCTAGCTTGATCAGAGCCAAATTGCTTTGCTAGGTTTCCACCCTGAGGGTCAAACTCTGCCGAGGCCCTTTCGTAACCTCATTCCTCCCACTTCTAGATTAAGAAAATGGGGGCGCTTGGCCTGCTAGCAATGGCGGTGCCCGAAAAATACGGAGGAGCCGGCTTGGATTGCTTGGCTTACACCATCGCCATGGAGGAGATCAGCCGCGGCTGCGCCTCCACCGGCGTCATCATGAGTGTCAACAACGTAGGTGTCCGTCCCCCCCCAACCCGACCCCAGTGGCCCTGCCCTGCCTGGAGGGGCCACGCCCCCTCCCCAGATGGTCGGAGGTGGGGAGGTCCCTGAAGGAGACTTACGGGGATCCTTTTGTTTCTTGAGTCGCTGTATCTAGGACCGGTTTTGAAGTTTGGGTCTGAAGAGCAGAAACAGCAGTGGATCCCTCCCTTCACCGGTGGGGAGAAAGTGGGGTGCTTTGCCCTCAGCGAACCAGGTAACTTGGGTGCTTGGGAGTGGCCCCCGGGCAGCCCTTTCCTTTTGGATTGGGGGCGTCAAGCTCAATTTCATTGAGCACAGCACCAGGGTTGTGTTTGACGTCGGAGGAGGTGGGGGCAGGGCTGGGTGTGACATGGGACTGGGGGGGGGGGGGGGGGGGGCCAGTGGGGACCAAGAGCTAAGGCGGGGCTTCCCTCAGACCCTCCCCCCCTCTCATTATAATTTTCCTTCCCTTCTTTGTCCTTCCCTCTTCATTCTCCTTTCTTCTTCCTTCCTTCCCTCCCTCCTTTTTCCTTCCTTGCGCTCTTCCCATCTTTTTCTTTCCTCTTTCCCTTCCTCCTTTCCTGTCCCTTCCTGCATGCTCCAATGCAAAACGGGAAACATTTCTCCTTTGCTTTTGTTTTTAGTTTGTTTCGTCTGCCAGCGAGAACGGACTCAGGGGAGCCTGCCCCCCTCCACTCCCCCTTGCTGGCAGAGGGCTGCAGGAAGCCGTTGGCGGCCCAAAATGCTCCGTTTTCGCTGGCAGGGGCACCTTTGCTGTTTCCCGCGAGTCAGAACTAAACACCCTATGGGCCAAATCCGGCCCAGGGGCCTTGAGATTGAGAGCCCCGTTTTAGATTCTGCAGGGAGTCCTTGACTTAACTGAGCCCAAAATTTCCATTGCTAAGCAAGGCAGTTGTTGAGCGAGTTTTTCCCCGTTTTACAACCTTTCTTGCCATGGTTGTTAAGCGAATCCGGCTTCCCCATGGACTTTGCTGGTCAGAAGATTGCAAAAAGGGACTTCGTGACCCCCTGTAACTCTGCAATTTTGATCAGGTGACCATGGGGAATGCTGCAAGAGTCATAAAAATGTGAAAAAAGGTCAAAAGTCACTTTTTTCAGTGCTGTTTTACCTTTGAATGGTCACTAAATGAATGGTTGTAAGTCGAGGACTACCTGTACAGGGAAGGTTGCATATGTGTGTGTAATGTGTTATGCCATGGAGAGGAACGGAGGCTGCAAAGAGTCCCTGTCACCCCAAATTCTTGCCCAAGTCCTTGCAATTACAAACCAGAGCAGCAGTTTTGTCACCTGGACAGTTTTGTCACCTTTGTGCCCTTAGGTGGCTCTAAACTTCCCCCTCGGTGGCTCCACTTTGCTCGACTGAGCAGAAGCTTCTAGAAGAATGACAGGTGGCAATTAAGAGAGCCAGAACTGGAAGCTCCCTGCGGGGCGTTACTTCCGCTTTGCATAATTTCTTCCCAAGACCTGCACGGTTTTTTAACATCTAGCCACGTCCTGCCTTCACGCGGTTGCTTAGCCGACAGTAAGGGGCTCCCCGGAGAGGCTGCGCCCCACAAGCCCCCCTGCAGTTCAGATGCTCCTGGCACACCGTCTCCTCTGTGGCTGCCTGGCAAAGCGCCTGCTGAGCAAGGTGGAAGTTCCACAGGGTCAAGCGGAGGGTCAGTGCCCGGGAAATGCAGGATGTCAGCTCTGCCTGGTTCGTCTTGGCGCCTCACAGGCATCCTGCCATCAAAGCTGGGACTGCGGGGGGGAGGGGGGAGGATGGAAGGGCAATGAAGCTGTGTGTGTGCATGAATGGAAATCGCAAGTGGGGAGGGAATGACAGGTTGATAAAGTCTGAATCCAGTTTGTACCAGCGTTCCAAGGCTTTATGCGCCCTGAGAAAATAGGTGGATTACCCCAAAACATCTCAGCGTTCCCAAAACATTTTGGTGAGCTCTGGTTGGCTGGAAACTGCTCAGGGGAGGAGGGAAGGTCTACTCTGTATTTTTTGAGTGCGGGAAACGTCAGCGCTAGCCTGGGCTTACTGCAGCGAACACCTTTAGCAAAAGAACCCATTGTTTCACCAAATGGGAGTCGAGGGTCTTTCTTTCCTAAGGGATCAGATTGGGGCAGGTCTGACACAGGGCGCTGTCCACCTGGGGCAGCCAGCCAGGCAGTGCTTGCAGGAGGAGAGCGAAAGGCAGCACTCTGCCCCCTGCCCGATGCACGCGGCCTGGCAGCAGCCGCAGCGCCTCTTGGCTGCAGACGGTCTTTTTCTCTCCAAGGAAACGGCAGCGACGCTGGTGCTGCATCCACGGCGGCTCAGCTGGTGGGGGACGAGTGGGTGTTGAACGGCACCAAGGCCTGGATCACCAACGCCTGGGAGGCCTCGGCCACCGTGGTCTTCGCCACCACAGACAGAGCCCTGAAGCACAAGGTAGGCTCCGGCCTCGGCCGTGCCGGGCAGGTGGCTGGTCTCTGCCCAGGGAGAAAAGACCCTGGGAAACATCTCCAGGTGGACGAGGAATCTGGCCGGGAAGATGGTCCTCAGGCGTCCAAAGGAAGGCATGAAGGTGGGGGGAGGTCCTGACCTTTGGGGCAAGCTCCCCCCAGGGATGGCTGCTGCTGCTGGACAAAGGATGTGGGCGGGGGGAGCACTGGGTCCAGAAGCAGAGCAGGTGACCATCCTCGAGGGCTCCCTTGGGAGGAGGGGAGGCTGCGTCCCCAAGTCCCGCTGGGAGCGAAAAGCCAGCCGTGGCGGTGGGGCTCCTGCAGAGCCCCTGGGAAAGGCTGCTGTGTGTCGCAGGGCATCAGCGCCTTCCTTGTGCCCATGCCGTGCCCGGGCCTCTCGCTGGGGAAGAAGGAGGACAAGCTGGGCATCAGAGCGTCCTCCACCGCCAACCTCATTTTCGAAGACTGCCGCATCCCCAAGGAGAACCTGCTGGGGTCGCAGGGCATGGGCTTCAAGATTGCCATGGTGAGTGGAGGGGGGAGGGGGAGGGCCCCCCTCCCAGGCCCACCCTGAGTCCCATCCCCCCCCCTTTGCCGCCTCGTCTTCTCCTCAGCAAACCTTGGACTCCGGCCGGATTGGAATCGCCTGCCAGGCCTTGGGCATCGCCCAGGCGGCTCTGGATTGCGCCGTGGATTACGCCGAGAAGAGGCTGGCATTTGGCCATCCCATCGCCAAGCTGCAGGCCATTCAGGTAGGGGGGTGGGCAGGCCCTTCCCCTCGCGGCTTCCTCCGCTCAGTTCTTGGTGCTCAGTTCTCCTTCAAGGGCGTCTCTTTTGGAGGCCCAGAAGAGGGAGGGGAGGGGGAGTAAGGGGGCTCCTGCGGCCCAGGTGTCCAAAGAGAGGCCTCCCCCCTGCCCAGGGTGGTGCTCCAGCCCACGTCCCACTGGATGCTGGGGCTGAAGAATGCAGAGTAAGAGAGGGAGGGAGGGACCTTGGAGGTCTTCTAGTCCAACCCCCTGCTCAAGCAGGAGACCCTGGAGTTGAGCCCAAAACGTCTGTTGCTAAGCAAGGCAGCTGTTGAGTTTGGTTAAGTCCACAGTTGTTAAGTGGAGCTCTACACCTGTTAAGGTAGCAACACGGCCGTTAAGTGAATCTGGCTTCCCCATCGCTTGTCCGAAGGTTGCAAAAAGGGATCACCCAGGGCACTGCAACCGTCATAAATCCGAGTCAGTTGCCAAGGGCCTGAATTTTGATCATGTGACCAAGGGGATGCTGCGACGGCCATAAGTATCACAAGCCACTATTTTCAGTGGTGTTAGAACTTTAAATGACCCCCCCACACACACACAAAAGGTGGTCAGTGGAGGACGCCCTGTAATAGGGGAGGCAACTATGGCCGCTTCACAGGGGTGGGATTCAAAAATCCCAGCAACCGGTTCGCTGCCTGGTTGCTGGGTGGGCGTGGCTAACCAGAACTTCCTGTTTCTGGCTTCCGGTGGGCCTTCCCAAGGGTCCAGAGGCTTCCCCCGGGCCTCTGCGAGGGCCACCTGAAGCTGGAAACAGCCCCATTTCCGGACTTCTGGAAGTCCCGTTTCTCCCCCTCCCAGAGCCTCTGCGCAGACCCTGCACTTGCCTGCATCAAAACGGGCCGCATGGAGACTACGGGGAGGGGAGGGGAGGGGAGGGGAGGGCGGGGCCAGCTGGTTGGTTGAAATACCGGATCAGCGAACCAGATGTAACTTTAACATCCAGTTCGCCCGAACCGGTCCGAACCAGTAGAATCCCACCCTTGCCCCTTTGAACCAGCCAGGAATTCTGGGAGTCGGAAGTCCACAGGTCATAAAGTGGCCATAGTGGCCCACCTCTACATAACCCTAACTGGCCCAAACTAGCATTCCCACGTGGCCTTCTCTCCCCCACCTCCAAGGAGAATGTCCCTGCTCCATCCATGGGCCTTGCAAGGGCCGCTTGGCTCTCCTTCGTGGCGTCTGCAGCTCTGAGGCACCGTCTTCCCCTCTGCTAACCAGAAGTAATGCCGGGTTAGACTCTTAGGGCTTAGTGGTAACCCCCCGCCCCCCACCGGGGGTGTTCTGTGTCTATAGTTTAAGCTGGCTGACATGGCGGTGGCGCTGGAGGGGGCTCGTCTGCTGACCTGGAGAGCAGCCGCCTTGAGTGACAACGGAAAGCCCTACACAAAGGTAATCTCCATCTTTTACCACCTGGAGCATCTTCTGAGCGGCTTGCAGGTCTTTCGAAAGGGGATAAGAATTGGCTTTTTTAGCAGGAGTGTCCTAACTTGGCAACTTTTAAGACTTGTGGGAACCTCAGCCCCCAGAATTCCCTAGCCCTCTTTGCTGGGGCAGACCCCCAGAATTAAAAGTTCATTTCTTAAAAAAAAAAAAAAAAAAAGCACGAGAATGCCAACATGTTAGAAGACTTTCAGAAGGAATAAGCGGGATCTCAATAACGCCTTGATAATTGTCAATTGGGAGGGGGCACCTGTACGATCCTGCCCTGGGCCCTGAAGCTCCTCCTGGTGTAAAGGCCCCACTAAGGAAGACGCTGCTGGGATTAGCAGGGCCTGCAAGAAAGCCAAGCCGTAAACCGCAGATTCCCCTTGGCCAGTGATAGTTTTTGAAGTTGGCTTGTCAAACATTCAGAAAGTGCCTGTCTCGACTCTGCTGGCATGTCTCTCTCACACACACAACCCCATTCCCCCCTGCCTGGAAAAAGAGGAAGCTGCCCTCCCACATGGCGTCCAGGGGGTCCAGAAGCCTGGCATGCTATACCAGTGACACGCATGTCATACGCGTGACCTGAGCCTCCTAGGGAGGGCTGTGCCAGGTAGCTTCTCTGCTTTCTCTCACTAGGAGGCAGCCATGGCCAAGCTGTCGGCATCCGAGGCAGCGACTTTCATCTCCCACCAGGTAAGTTCCAGGTGCTCCGATTCTTCAGGCCCAGCAGCAGCAGGAGGAGGTGAGCTGCCTTCCTGTCTTGCAAGGACAGACGGTCCCGGCAAAGCCTGGGGATTAGATGACCGGGAGACTGGCCTGGTTTGCGGAGAGCTGCTTCCATTCCACCTGTGCCGGAACCGATGGTTTTCTTTCAGGCGATCCAGATCCTGGGCGGCATGGGCTATGTGACAGAGATGCCGGCCGAGCGCCATTACCGAGATGCCCGCATCACCGAGATCTACGAGGGAACCAGCGAAATCCAGAGGTTGGTGATTGCAGGGCAGCTGCTAAAGGCCTATCGAGGCTGAAGGGGAGGACCGCTACGGAGGCCTCTGAAGAAGAGGGGTGCAGGCTTAAGCGGAGGGCACCCGCCCCTTGGCTCACCATGGAAGAGACCAGCTGGGCATCCAGCTCCTTTGATGACCACGCCTCCGATGGAGGTTGAGAGCAGGCACCTGGAACGACCAGAGGGGGGAAGGAGGACCTGGGAAACGGGTGCAGGAGGGCCTCGTATCCCACACTCACCAAAGTCCCCTAGGCTCTTGCCAAGATCTACTCTATCCTGGACCCCACGGATTCCAGTGGAGCCACATCTGCCCAGGTGCAGTTTCTCTCCGTCTTCAGTGACAGCTGAAAGAAAGCAGGTTGTTGGGAAACAGATCAGAGACACAAGATATTAACGGGTCATCCACTGCTGAAAAGTTGCTGGGGTTGGTGGCAGAGAGCAAACCGTAGCCGTTAAGAGTCCCAAGTGCCTTGTTTGTGCCCCAAAGCCAGGTTTCCTCCGCCCAGATGGAGATGCTCTCCTTGATGCAGTCCGAATTGACTATTAAATTTGAGCACTGACAGCTTGTAGTACCTTGGGGTTTAATTGTGGTCTTTTTTCGAACCCACATTCAAGGGTTCAGCCTGCTGCTTGCTAGGACCCTGAAGCGGCAGAGGGTCCCTTGCAGCTTCCCAGAGAAAGGAGAGACCCTTGATGGGCCTCCTCAAAGTGGTTCCCCTGCCTGGTGTTTCTGTCTGAACATTTAACTGAACATTTAACTGGCCCAAACTCACCCAATTGGCTTTCATGCCTAAGGCGGGACAAGAACTCGAGAGTCTCCTAGTTTCTAGCTTGGCCCTCTTTTGTTCATTTTAATTTGCTTCCCTACCATGTTCTGGAAGTTGAAGTCAACAGGTTAGTTGCCAAGGTTGAGAAACATCCTCTACCTCACCTCATCACCTCATCGCCACGTTAGCAGAGGACATTCCCAGGCTGATGACTTGGGCAGCTTCACCTTCTCCGGGGTTGGATTCAGTCAGGTTCAAAATTTTATGGTCACCATGACTGTCATGGGCTTGTCACAGGCACCCAACTCAGGAGCCTGACCACACATGGTCGTGGAGCAGAGGCAGCGCGGTTTGAATTTGGGGAACGCTGACAAGTCAGATATCACAGCCTGATGAATGTTGATCAGTCCATCTCCCCAGAGGAGAAAGGGGGCTCTGAAGAACATCTGTTGAGCATCTGGCATTCAGAGTTCAGGTGCTATCTGAGATACCAGTTGAGGTGAAGAAAACCTCTTGTGAAGTTACCTGGGATGAACCTGCAATTGTTGGTCTGAGGAAGTAGATCTTGATCCTCTAGGACACCAATTCCACCACCTCTCTTGGGCTGGATCCCTGCCTTTTCTGACCATCAGTGGAACTGCTCTCCTTGTTCAATCCCTCTGTCGGATTTGGAGAATTGCCAACCAGTCTCTGATGCTTCATTCGTAGTGAAAGTTCTTGAGTAGATTGTGGGTCGGTAACTCTGGAGGAAATAGAGTTTCGGTTGATTTGTGAAGCAATACCCATATTTTTTTGATAGCCTGTGTCCCTCCTGGAGTTTTCAGCAGCCTTTGATTGAATCACAGCCTCGGTCTGGGCCGTCGCCTGTGTTTGGGAACCGGTGGCACACTTTTAAGCGTGCTTGTCCTTCCACTAAGCTAAATCCAGCAAATGGTAGTGGGAGAAGTGGAGCCCTTCAGTTGTGGGTGGCTGCAATGTGCAACTCCTCCTCCTCTACAACGTCCACGTGAAGCGTGGCAGGTTTATTTCTTGACACCGCATCAGTAGGCCAATATTCAGCTGGGTATCTTGGCCTGAAGCCACAAAGGAGTGACCAGAAGTCGGAATCCAGTAAGATGGAATTGTTTTGGATCCCAAGACTATCGGAGTCCAGGGAGATTCTACCCTCGCTTATGGAAGGGCTGCACTCCCTCCTTTGGAACCGGTGAACCAGGATCACCGGTTGGATTCGTGGCCTCCGCCCGAAGGAGTGGGGGCAATGGCAGCTGAGGGGGCTCTTGCTTGGTCTTGGTTCTGCGCCAGGAGATCTGTTGCTCTGTCGTCATGCCTTGCTTCTCCCTTGGTTGGATTACTGCAATACACTCTATAAGGGGCTGCCCTGGAAGGCCGCCTGGAAGCTAAAGGCGGTTCTGGATGCAAATGGCCATAAGCTGTGCGTGTTGTAGTGCGTTTCCTCAGGGCAATAAGATTAACTTTCGTTAGTCTTTTTAACTTTTGATAGTTATTTAAGGTATATATTTCTTGGAAAGGGTTGCCACTGAAGCAGTATCCAACTCCCATAATAACTCTTTAAAACATCATAAAGATATTGCAGGCAAAGTTAGTCTTCAAGATGGGGATAAAAAGAAAGCTTAAAAAATGCACCATTCCAGGATACTAGAGAAGTAGCACAAGTGTGGGATCTTCCTATGGAGTCCAGGAGGTTCAATGTTGGGCCTTGCTTTAAGACTTACTTTGAAGTTACAACTATTACATCAGCTCTGTGGTCACGTGCTCACAACTGGGGCGCTCGCATTACAACGGTTGTGGCATCTTGCGGTCAGTTTGCCACCTTCCCAGCTGGCTTCTGACAAGCAGCCAATCGGGGAAGCTGGATTCCCAAAACAATCGTAATTCACTTAATGACCATGATCTTTGATTTAACTGAGGTAAAAAATAGTCATAAAATTGGGTCTGGTTAATATAATGATTTGCTTAATGACGGCATTGCTTAGCAACCCGAATTCAGCTTAAGGGCTACCTGAACAGTTACAACACAGGAAAAGAAAAGAAAGAGTATGCGCTTCTGAATCAAAAATTATTCAACAAAATGTTTAAGCAAGTGAACAAAACGTCCTTCTGCTGCTCCTCCTCCTCCTTAGAAGGTCCTCTGGCAGAATCTTCCTCGGTTCTGGATACATCCGCGTCCAGACAACCCCTTGCACAGCAGGAGTTGGAGAGCTGCTAAGCGTAAACTCTCCTTGGTGCTTTGTGGGATAACCTGGGATCTTATTAGACCTCCTGGGCCTCTCCGTGGCCACCTGTCCAGCCACCCTGGAATTCTTCTGAGAGGCTGGCAGAGCTGGCACCTGAAGCCATGCTTGGGCAGGGCAAAGGACTGAGCAAGAGCCAGCCAACAGGGACTCCATCCAGACAAGGAGGAGACACCGACAGGTTTCTGGCCACTCAGATGTCTCCAACTGGCAGGGCTCAGCAGAGCCATCTCCACCGGCTCCAGCGCTGCCCACCCCAGCTGGCATCTGCACGTGCCCTTGGTCAGCTCTGCTTAGGAAAAGGCCCTCCACTCCGCACCAGAGAACAGCCTTCTGCTACTCTGGGCCTCCGTACAAGCTCAAGTCCCTGCTAAAATTACTATGGTCGAAAAAGGCATGAACCTTGCCTAACAAAAACTCCGCCAGTTTCTAGTCATTTTACAGCCACAGTGGGAGAACATGAAGTGAGCCATTGTTTCCTCCCACGGAGCCAATTCAAAGCAGAAAACGAGAACAGTTTTAAATAGAAAGTAAAATGTGTAATTTGATATAACACAACCTAGCATCAACTGCCTGTATAATAATTTTCCCTCCCTCTTTTCTCTTTTAAGGGATCAAAAACTAAACCATTTTAAATGGATTTGAAGAAACCAGACACTGATCATCAGTGCCTCAATGACATATAATTTCGACACATCTCATTAAATAAATTAGAGCCACAAGCACAAATTAATATATACTTTATAAGATGCTGGGATGTTAATTATAGTACAAGTATAGCATCCACTTTGGAGCTGCTTTTTAACGGACTTGTAAAAATATGACTTCTAAAAAGTATGGTTTAAAAATATGCATACATTGGGAATATTTTATAGAAAGGCATGGTCTGAGCAGAGCAAAATAAACACCACATATGCACTGCTTGCGCAGCTGAAAATCCCAGTCACTCTTAACCCATCGCAGCACATCGAAAGGCCCTCCAGGAGGAGTGCAGACTGACACCACGAGACCCGGGTCACGTATAGGCTTCCCCGCTTCTTCCAGACCCTTCCACAGGGACCTGGCTCATAGGGCCAGATGTGCTTCCTGCCTGCCAATTCCAGCCCTCTAGAGCCAGACAAGAAACATGGTTATCATGGCTTCAAAACGTTCCTCACATTCTCCCATAACCTGCAATTTACAGAAATTCTCCATGCAAATGGGTACATTCTCCTAGGAGCACCAAAACTGATTTTAAGACGAGTGATTACATCACTATCACTGAGAACAAGAAAACGATCTCCCAGAATTGAAAAATGATTGAAAGTGACAAGAACTTTCAACTGCAAAAAAAAATGGGGGATTTCAGTAAGGATTTTCAAAAGTCAAGGCCAGTCAAGAGTTTGGGGGGGGGGGGGGGGGGGGGGGGGGGGGGTAGGAGAGGAGGTGGTGCAAAAATCCAGTATGCAAAATTAGTGGGCCAGAATTCAGGGGAGGGTTTCGTTCCCTTCATTTAAAAAAATCTGGCCTCTCTGCAGTGTCTTCTTCGTTGCTCTTGCTGCCTATGCAAATGCACCCCGGCTCCTAATGGAAGCTTTTTTTAAGTTTAAGAGGCTCTGTATTTGGAAGGGAATTCCCGTCCCGCCGCCCTGTGACTTGAACAAATGCAAAATTAACTTTCCTTCCAAGGTGGCTCCTTTTCCAAAGGTCTGTGCTCTTCAAATAGTAAAACTGCTTGAGGAACAAGTTTAAGGCAGGCAAATATCAAGACACGGCGGAGGTCGGCCTGATGAGTTCGAGTGCGAGAAACATGCAGGGATTCTTAGGATCGGCTCCAATCGGTCAACTAAACCAAGATAAACTGTGAGTCTCCGATGCATGGAACAAGAGCTAGATTTGTTTGGCAATTACAGAAGTCCTGGATTTGTTTGGAAATAAAAGACAAGAAAATTTTCAGAATTCCTCCAGACCAGGAATTTCCAACCTTGGGGACTTTAAGACTTGGGGACCTCAACTCCCGGAATTCCTCAGCCAGTGTTCATTGGCTTGGGAATTCTGGGAGTTGAAGTCCCCAAGTCTTAAAGTTGCCAAGGATGGAGACCCCTGCTCCAAGCATACCCCTTGATCTTGAGCGCATGTAAAGACAACAGAAGCAGCCATCTTTAGAAGTCAAGCAGCTCTTAGAGGGGCCAGAGTCTGGATGGAAGTAGGGCGGCCTGAGGTTCCATGACGGAGAAAAGGTGAAATATACAGAATACCAGACCTGACTTGGCAGGTCTTTCAGTGCAACCCTTGCCCAAGCAGGAGACCTTATACTGGGGGGTCCAGTCTTGGAACTTGAAGACTAGGCTGGCTGGGGAATTCTGGGA